ACGCCACAGACACGGCAGGACCTGTGCCAGAGGTGGTGCTCTTTTCTGAGCGCAGTTTCTGAAGGACGAAGTTCGGGATTCGTGAAAACCTCTGAACGTGCGCACTTCCACTTTATTCTCTGACTGTGTTTCCAGCTGACGTGGGCGCGTGAGCGCAGCCCGGAGTGTTGCTGTCGGCGTTTATATCTGTGTGCGTGCGTGTGTGTGTGTATGCCGGGTGGGGAGCACGGAGCAGAGGAGCACCGCTGACCCGGTGGGATTTTCAAACAAACCACGTTATTTGGTCTCCTCTAATCTGTCAGAACTCCAGTCTGGCTCCTGCGTGGACACTCAGAGAAATGAATTTCACTGAATTATCCAGCGGCTCTGTGTTATTTCTCCAGCCAGGACTGCTGCTCCACCACCACCACCACCACCACCCGTCCTTAGAATAAAGCTGCTGTGAGAGGAGTCAGCATCTTCACCGGTGTCTAACAGCTGGGATTTACTCTTTACTATGTCTTGAGACGCGGAGTGGAGGCTACACGGATGATGGCAGTGAGTACAGGCTGTTTCCACGGCACGGCCGCCGTAACCAGGCTGCTGTCAGCCGCTCTCCTGCAGGAGCAGCCTTTATTCATGCGGGCTTTGACTTTAACTGTGACAGATGAGATGGTTTGGTGAGGAGGGTCAGTGTGGTCAGAGCCGTGCGCCGTGTCATCCATCCACCCGAGCGAGCTTGGGCGTTTCTGTCATCACTGTTGCCGGGGGTGGGGGACAGGGAGGGGGACGTCAGGTCCCTGCTGGGACTTTTTTGGAAACATTACATCATAAGAGTAGCCTGTGGATGAGTCTGCAGATTAGAGGAAACACGCGTGTTTTTTCTCCCACTTGTTTACAACAGGCACGCTCTTTAGATTTAATTCAAACCCTAAAATAAATGTCGTTTCCTGTGATGACAGATGCAGGGCTGGAACTGTCATGTGTGCACAAACCTCCTGAGAGAGGAGGAGAGGGAGTGTGTGTGTGTGTGTGTGTGCGCTCGACGCACGCACGGACTGGGCGTATGCGCCGTGGACTCGGTGAGATTCGACGGGCAGAGTTGTCAACAAAGTCTTTGGCATAAATCTAACGCCTCCCCAAAAATACCCACCCGGCTGTGGGGTGGGATCGGTGCAGCTGTCAATTTGCATGTGTTTTGTTTGTCCAGATCCAGCCTGAGATCCAGCCTGTGTGTGTGTGTGTGTGCGCGCTCGACGCACGCACGGACTGGGCGTATGCGCCGTGGACTCGGTGAGATTCGACGGGCAGAGGTGTCAACAAAGTCTTTGGCATAAATCTAACGCCTCCCCAAAAATCCCCACCCGGCTGTGGGGTGGGAGGGGTGCGGGTGTCAATGTGCATGTGTTTTGTTTGTCCAGATCCAGCCTGTGTGTGTGTGTGTGCGCTCGACGCACGCACGGACGGGGCGTGTGCGCCGGGGACGCGGTGAGAGGCGACGGGCAGAGTTGTCAACAAAGTCTTTGGCATAAATCTAACGCCTCCCCAAAAATACACACCCGGCTGTGGGGTGGGATCGGTGCAGCTGTCAATTTGCATGTGTTTTGTTTGTCCAGATCCAGCCTGTGTGTGTGTGTGTGTACGGTCTGTCTGCGCCGGGTCTAATCCCACAGCGGATCAGCCTGGACTCTTCCTTCAGCGCCTTCCGCTCGTTCGCCGGCTGCGTGTGCTTTACGCACGCTTTAAATCATTATACTATTTATACTAGTGACGCCATTGTATCGGCGTGGTAACGTTAGGAAAACCAACCGCCGAAGGCTGCACAGAGCGGAAAAACGCGTCACGCAGAGCCGGGTGGCTGAGGCTTGGAAACGCGAGCCAGCGGCTCGGAGATTTTGTTTCCACTTAACGGTTTGCCTACGCCGGGGAGGAAAACGCCTCCCGGTGCCTGGATCCAGGGTTTTTATGGCAGTTAAAGGGTGACTGAGCCGGGATGAGGGGCTGCTCCACACACGACAGGGACTGCTGACCGTGTAATGATCCACAGTGTTTGATGAGCACGTCGGTAAGGCTGCTCTCTGCTGATAATCCGATTTACTACGCTGACATTTAAACCTTCATATTACATTATACTAAAAAGAATCTCACAATTATGACCTGCAGTGTTCTTGTTGTAAAGTAGACCACGCGATTTCAGCGAATTAGGCCTTAAGTAGGCTGCCAATATGTGTGCGTGCGCGTGCGTGTGTGTTGGCATACCCAGCAATATATCTGAAACCGAATATATTGTTTTGCATGTTATTTCTGTCTGGCTGGTGCTCAAATTGTGGGCCGTGAACCTAGAAGTGGTCGCACAGTGATATTTTCTGGGTCACATTTCAGTTAATGCTAACCTGCTTAACCTGGAATATACCTCCGTGGTACCATCAACAGTCGTAACACTTCCTGTTGGTGCTGGGCAGGAAATGTGGTCATGTGGTGTGGTCGTATGTGGACGCTAAAAATCTTTGGGTTTTATGACAAAACAGCACTCCTAGTGGTCACCTTGGTTCTGTTCCAGCCTGTCTTCATGCTGCATCCTGTCTCATATGTTGTATCTTTTTGTCTACATACATTCCTGATTAATAATGAATATAGTAGATGAACACATGGTACTTCGCAGGGTACTGCGAGTGACAAATGTCGTGAAGTGGCCGTAGTCAAACAGAGCGACGAGAGTTCATGTCAAAGATGACTGGTTGTTGTTGTTGTTTTGACTGTGTTTCTTCAGGGAATGTCTTTCCCCACAGTTTTACAGCATTGTTTTTTATCTTTGTGTTTTTTGATGTAACTCATACGTTCACATCTAACTGTCGCCTGCAGACACATCACTTTGGTCTTTTATGCCCAGAATTTGATGGAGTCTGATGTTGAACAGCTGCTGGCGTTGATGTACTCTGGTACTGCGTTGTGCAACAGAATGATATCAGATTTTAGAATAAAAAATCACGACCAGATTCAGAATCAGAGTCAGCCCTGACTGATGCTGGGATGTGAGCCTGCGCTGAGCTTTCAGCCAGTAGGCTTGGTGTGGTCAATGTGGACAGGACACAGTGGACATATCACTGCTCCACTTGACGTCTCACTTACGCATAGTGAAAGTGACACAGTCGCATTGCAAGTGCTGTTCTTTATCAAAAACTCACTTTTATTGAACTGAAATGTCAGTCAGTCAATCTACAGTACATGGAATTAGGGTTTACATTTATTTGACCATGTATTTATTATTACTGTTTTTGTGATGAAAAATGGAACCTGAGATTTAAAACTAGAAAACCTTCTTTTAACCTTGCAGGGAATTAAAAGGTAAAAGAGCAGCACATGTGGATCGAGAGATTAAGAAGAATAAGTGTAGGATGGTAGGTTGATATGTTTGGAGTTTTTCTTAGCTTTGAGAGTTCTGAAGGAAAACAGCCTGAAGAACTAAGGTTGTTCTCCTCCTCTGAGTTCTGGGTTCCAAAAATATTAGCAGCCAGACCATGACTCTGTTGCTCCTGTCCAGTGGTCAGCCAGAGAAAAGTGGGTCCAGTGATCTTCACACACACCTCCACTGTGTTCTATAAAGGTTACAGAAAGAACCAACAGTTCATAGTAAATGTCACGGCTGACCCTACAAAGAATCTAAACTATTCCTTAAAGCATTGTTTCCCAAAGACTGGGTCTCGACCCTCAGGTGAGTCGCAAGAGATTTATTTTGGGTCGTCTCGCATCATGTTTCCCAGGACTTTGCAAATAATGTCTATTGACTTGAGTCGCCAAGGTTTGTGACTTTTAAAATATGGGTCCCCAGAAAAAAAGTTTGGGAAACACTGCTTTAAAGGACATATTGACAACCTGGATACTAGACTTTTTATTGAGCTGAGTTCTAGTCCTCGTCACAGAGTGTTTTATGCTTCCTCACTGCATCCAGACGTCGTGTTTCTTGCCACCAAGTTGCTGAGTCACGTTGCTTTGCTGAACAAAGATAAATTTTGCAGCTTATTGTCCTGTGGCATCCACATCTGGTGTCTGTGCAGGTGTGGTCCAGACGCCTCCAGTCAAGAAAGCTCCCTTTCAAATCCTCCGTAACAGGAAAAATGACCCAGGAGTCTTCACACTCCAACAGCAGGACTCGACAATCTCTATGATTAATTTATTTTCTTCCACAGCAGCTCTGGTACTGTTGTGTTCTCTGTGCCGTGGGACAATTTCTGGCATTTCTTGCTTTTCATTAGCTTCTGAAAGTATTCTGTGAAGCCCTGTGAAAATGTGCCGGCGTGGAGACAGGACTGATAAGTTTGTCTGCCAGAGAAGTCTGGGTTCAGGTGGAGATTTGTGGAGGGCTGTAAACAACTCAGACATTTTCATTAGCCACAAACTAATCAGTCAGGCGGTGATTGGAGCTCTATGGGAGTGACACAGTCAAGGTTAGACAACAACTCCAGACTCATCTGTCTGTGTCACCGTTTGCTCCTTTATGTATTGATACGTCAGTGTCACTCACACTCACCCTGCTAACACCCAGTGTCGCTGCAGAGCTGTGTTTACGTAGGTGTGGCTGTTTGGGGATAATATTGTGACACTTGCAACCACAAGCATTCACACAGGCTGTGTGTCTGTGTGTGTGTGTGAAGCATTGCACAAGGGTCTCCATATGTATGTTTATCATTCCAGAGGAATGTGATTAACAGTTCTAGAAAAACAGTGCAGTGCTGGAGGAGTGAAGTTGAAGCAGAAAAGACTGCAGACTATTGAGTTGTGTGTACACAGGAAGTGCCTGCAGGACAGGAAGTCCATTGTGGTTGCCAGTGTGAAACCAAACCACTAATCGGAATAATCTATTTCCCCTCACTTCCCTTAATTCTTGTTCATTTTGTCCTATTTTCTGAATCCCCTTCCTTCCTTCTGCCCGCTGAACTGTTCAAACCCCGTCTGTTTTTCATGAACCTTCTCGTCCTTCACCTACTCCAGTCTAACTCCTTCTCTCTTCTCTGTTGTTGCAGGATTACCGGGAGGATGGCATGGACCTGGGGAGTGATGCATCCAGTCGCTCCGGCTCAGAGTCCAACTCCAACAAGGTCACACCTTGCTCCCCCTCTCTTGACTTGGCTGCACTGGATGACTACAAATCCTCCCCCTCTCTGGACCTGGTGACTTTAGAGGACTATGAGGAGGACGAGGACTACCAAGAGTATAAGAAGAAGGTGATAGAGGAGTGGGAGAGTGAGTACGGAGAGGACTGTACCTCTCCACAGCCTCCTAGTCAAGAGGAAGGCGAAGGAGGCAGCGAGGTTGTCGAGGGATTTGGTAAAGGCTACAGGAAGACGGTCAACAGCCGCAGCCTGGCTGAAGAATTCCAGGAAGTCAAGCCTATTCCGCCCATCCCAGCGCCCGGACGACACACCGCCACCTCGGCCGCAGTGATCCCAGAGGAACTGAAACAGAACGGTAATCTGATTCTGCCCAGGAGCAGCCATCTCCACTCCCCAGGTGCACCACACGGGGGCACGGGGACGGCCAGGCCCAGTCACCGCAGCTCCAGTCAAGGTAGAGGAAGCCGCAGCAGTGGTTTGGGTGGCGGTGGAGGAGGAGGAGGGACCGGGATAAAGATGGGAGGATACAGGGAGGAGGAAGGTGTAGAGGAAGAGCCTCTGCCAACCATGGACTGGGCGGCGCTGGAGAGACACCTGGCTGGGCTGCAGACCAGAGAGCAGGAGAATCAGAATCTCAACCACAACCAGAACCAGAACGTGGGGAAGACCAACTACACCTCAGTAAGTGGACGGTTCTTTTATTACGTAGGGACTTTCTGCTGCAGTCTCTGACACAACTCTCACCTCTGTACATAACAAACACATTATTCCAGCAGTTTTTAACGTCACATAAATCCTGACAAAACATGAGGTCAGGCTGCTGAGGTTTAGAGCCAGGGATTAGTGGGCTAACGTAGCGCTAAACTGCTGTATACAGCCCAGCCATTAACCTGAACATCATGGAGATCTGGGCTCAGAGCAGTAAGGATTTGCATGAAAATCTTCCCTGGTTTGTTGTAGTTTAGTACTAGTTCTGTTCATCACTGAAAACTACAGCTTCACCAAAGATCCACTCATGTTTATTTTAGTCCAAAGTCACGCTGCTCACCTCAGGCAATGCTTCGCTAACCTTTGACACCATTGTAACTCTATTTTAGTCCTGTTGACCACTCATTTAGACCACTCAGTCAGGGGTGGGTGTTGAACCCTCAACCTTCTGCTCTGCATGAATATTACTATGTGAAGTTAAGGAATGAACATTCGGAAGTTGAGTTGCTGACCTTGGAAGGTTGAGTCGGTCTAACCTTCCTCCCGGTGCCAGACTTTTTTGCTATGTGACGCTTCCACCAGTAGAGGTCAGTGTTGCATTGACATTGTGCACAGATGACGCTCCCTGGCCTTTGACGCTGCACACGCAGCACTCCAGACTTTTATGATTTACAGGCAGTGGCATGACATCACTCACTTAAAATTATAGACAGAGACAGAGATTGTGTTTATTGTTGCTCAGTGGCTGCAGAAGGGCGTAGTTTCACAGCAGCACCACAGTTTGACTGCAGTCACTGAGTGGGGGGGGGCTAAAGAGACTTCAGCACCGTCGTCTTCTCCTTTGGTATGTAAGCTTTAAGACCCTTTTCCCTGAGTGCACTCGAACAATAGTTGTAGCCAGTGCCATTGTGAGTGTGTTGTGAGTCTGTTTGTGTGTGACAACCTCACCCCGCCTCCCCACCTCTCTCCCTGAGGCATGCCAGGAATGTAGAAGGAGAGGTGGGGGTGAGAGGACAGAAGTGAAGAAAAGACACATAAAAGATGGTATCTGCAGGAGCAGGCAGTTCAGGGTGACGTGACCCACGTCTTGGCGACACTGCCAGTTTCCTACTGCCCATCGTGGCTGCTTCAGTCTGCTTTTCATCTCTGTCACTTGTATGCCAGGATGTGGAGGAAGTTAGTGGAGTTGAAGAAAATCTCATGAAAGAGAGTCTTTGTCTCACAGGCAGCCACTATCTTCTCACACATACAGAAATGTCACACTAACGCTTATCACCACAGACACATTCCTTGGCTCCGCTGGTGTTTTCACAGAGGTCCTGATGGCGGTGCTGCCACAGCCTCCAACTCCTTTTGTACGCTCCTGTTCAAAGCAGCAACACCAACTGTAGGAGAGACTGTTCTTCAGAATCCCATCAGTCCTCTGTCCTGTCCAACCCGTCTCGTTTAACTAGTTCAGTCCCACAGCTGCCTGAGTTCTGTAGACGAATGTCTGCCATATGGAACATAGAAGATAACAGTCAGTTTCTCAGCTTTTTATGTGTAATCTGATCCTGTAGACCAATCTCTACATATGGTCACAGAGAGCAATAGCACTGCAGACCATCTGCTCACCTGTTAAAGAGAACATTAAACTAGCAGAGTGGCAGCCGAGGAGGTGGGCCCCAGGGGACGCCTGCATGTCTTAACTCTGAAATATGGAGGTCACAGCAGCAGAAGATCCAGAGGCAGGAGGCCTGCTGTGAATTAAACTTTTATTAGAAGGACAGCCATTCAAGTGAGAGCCTATAGCTCCACCCAGTGACCATTGTAATAGTATAATAATGTAATGTAATTAGAAATGAATGGATGGATGAAGTTTCTTGATTTTATAAGTCTACTAAAAATATTTTAAAAAATCCTGAGCTTAAAATAAAAATATTTTATTAAATCAAATATTTTGTTGAATCCACAAAATACAGTAAAATATAGTAAAAACAGATCTCTCTGCATGTAAATCTGTAAATCATAGAGCCTGTTGTGACTAGGTATCATACTGATGGTTTCAGACCTGTGTCGTGACAGGACTTGATGAGAACCCTCTGTAGAACGCCTGTTGTTCCACCTGTTTTGTATGTGTCTCAGGCTGCTGTAATCTCAGCCACTTCCTGCAGGATGTAAGTGAACGGGGGTCACCATGAGGATGATGGACTTTCTGACCTGTGTGTAATTTGATTCTAATGAACTCCAGAGGCACGTGCCAGACTGGGGCCCACGGTCCTGAGGTTTCTGTTTAGCTGAACACCCATGAGAAGTAGGCAATAATAATGCTGCTCTTCAAAGTCAGTCTACAGGTGGAGAAGGCTGTGAGGTGGTCAGTCTGTCTGTAGCTCTGTCCCTGTCTCTGCTGCACGGTGTTTAAGGTGGAGAAGAAGTAAATTCATGCCTGGAAGCTGTGTCTCCTTCAGTCTGAGTCTGAACACACCCAGAGTTAGTCCAGCAATTTATAACGACCTGCAGGCAGAGTGCTGTTGAGACCTGCACACACACACACACACACACACACACACACACACACACACACACACACACAGTCTCTCTCCCTCTCTCTCTCTTCCTCCCTCCCTGTTTTGGACATACTGAGTTTAAGGTGACATTTTTAAACCTGTCTCTTGAGTGTCTCTCCTACTTATGTAAATGTCAAACATTATTGCTGTGATTGTCTTCTGAACAGATAATAACGCAGTCTAAAAACAGCACACGGCAGTGTTTTCTCACCTGTTTCACACCAGGTTGAAAATTGTCTCAAGTGCCTTGTGAAAAAAAACCTAAACTTTTAAAACTTGGACAGATGTGACACCTGAAGGACCTCCGTTTCTACTCGTCAGTGGGAGTAAAGTTTGAATGAAGCTGTATTTATTATGAGGTCTGAAGTGCATTATTAACTGGTCCCAAAGATTTAAAACCAAACTCAGCCACTCGGCCTGAAGAGCAGCAGAGGGAAAAAAGAGCCTCTGTTTATCCCTGCCGTTGACTGTGTGCTCTGTGATTATGTACGAGTTGAGCAGTTGAACTGTGCTCAGCACTCTCCACTAACAACCTAACCACTGCCTTCGCCCTGCACTCAGACGCTGCCACGTAGAGGGAATGAGGGCGAGGGAAGGAGAGGGAAGAAATTGTCCGGTCCGTGTGCAGTTGTAGTGGATAAAAATAGAAGCAGAGAGTAAATGTGAAGTAGTTACACCACAGTCTCCTGAATGGGGGAGAAAATAAAAGCTTACAGATCAGAAGGGAGAGATAGCCAATAAGGAGGTTACAGGAGGAATGTGGGGGTCAGGGAATGTACATGAGGGTAGTTAATGGAAGAGAGCTTCAAAGATGCACGGGGAGCAGGGGGGAGGAGCAGGGTCTGAACCAGGTGTGGTGGGCGTGCGGTGTCTGGTTCTGCCCCTCAGGCTGAACCACAGCGCTGAGTTTGTAAATGTGTGTCTGTGTTGATACCAGCTAAAACACGCCTGGCGCTCTGCACGGCAGGACTCTCACACACACTCCATACACACTCGGCACTAACTCACAGTGAAGGAGAACTTAGGTCTACTCACACACTTCTAAACTGATGGATCGTTTCCCACCTGTGGCGTCCTGACAGTCGGCCAGTGCTGCTGGATGTTCTTTTTTTCATTTTATTATTTTTTTATTAGTGGAGAATTTTTCATTTCACCTCAACCTTGGATTCCTCACAGCAGGCCGGGCACTTAACCCAGGTAAAAAACCCAGATCATTTCTACCCATCTCTACACAGTGTTTGTTTTTTTATCATGAATTTCCCCAGTTTTACAAGTATTGCAGATGTAGTCAGAACAATAGAGAAGATCACAGAGTTCAATACCTGCTGACACCTATATATAATATAAATGAAATATAAATGAGGATGTTTTGTCTTGAGTCTGAACCTCAGTTTGTGATATAACAGTGAAATATTCCGACAGTAGAGTCAGCTGTGTCTGTGTCTCAGCTGTGTCTGTGTCTCAGTTTTCCTCGTGACCCTTCAACAAAGTACAGGTTCATGTTGGGAGGCTCTGACCATATGTGGGTTACTTTACTGTGTGCTAGCACTTTGTCTTTTCCTCTGTCAGAGTAATATAACCCGGCCTTTTGTGCATTTGTTTGTGATTTCCATTTTAAATAAGCAAAGTCTTTGTCCTCTGTCTCTGCCTCTAATCTTGTCTCTGCCCTGAGGTGTGAGTGTGTTCATATCCACAGAGGACACATTTGTCCACCGAGCCTCAGCTGACTGCTGCAGGCACATGTACATTCTCCACACTCACCTGCACGAGGCAAAGTCAGCACCAAGTCAATGCAAATCAGTACATCTGCTCAGAGAGTTGGGTTTCACATACATGGAAACTGAGAGCCAGTCTGTAGACGACCAGGATATTTGATCTATTAAAGCTCTGCTCTGTACTGTACCTGTCAGTCTGCACTGTGGGAGAAGACAGAGAAGAGCAGAGGTTCCACTGAAACTGGCTTCCATAAATGGGTATAAAAGGCACAACAGTCAGTCAGTCTGCACCACAGAAGAATACTGTACTGTAAAAATGTACCTGTACACAAAGATACACTGTGTTAAACTGACTGTGAAGTATTTTATTTTATTTTTTTGGGAAATTACACAATATTTAAATTAAGACCTTAAAATACAATATAATATAAAAAGAAATTAAGATCAAACTCAAAGCTCGGGGGCCAAATGTGGCCCGCCAAGCTGTTTTGTGTGGCTGGCAGGACCTTAAAAAGCATTTAGTAAAGTCCATGCATCAGAGTTTCTTCACCTATGAAATTAAAAGTGTTTTCATTACACAGCAATGAACAATATTTATAGCTTGAATAAATAATAATCAATTGCAGAAACACGTATTAGTCTGTTATGGAGTAGTTACATCCATACCAACGGTCCCCAAACTTTTTTGTTCCAAGGACTGGTCAGCTAGTAC